TTTTTATAAATTAAAGTAATAGATATTGTATTATATGAAATCAACAGGGTTCGTAGCGGTCCTTATAAGTGCTTATAAGTCCTTATATTTGAAAATAAAATATAAAGGCTCTTATAGGTGCTTACTTTTTCTTTAAAGCCCTTATTTTTTTTGTTTTTAGTGCTTATTTTTTGCTTTTAGTGCTTTTTTTTTTTTTTTTTTTTTAAATGAACGCGCTATTTTTCCCGGTACCAAAGCCGAAACTAAATAAACAACTTTTCTTTTCCTTCCTAATATGGAATGTCAGATGGTGAATCATACTCCCGGAAATAGCTTTTTGCCCCTTTCTCTGCATTAACATAACCTTTGTGTGCGCGCGAAGAGTACAGACAGGTGCCCGTCGTTCTATTGGTCAAAGAAATGCGAAAGTAATAAATAAAGGGAAAGTAATCGAATAGTCAAAATAATTTTGTTTTTTTGGCCAATACATTATACAGTACGAAGATTGGGAGGTTCTCCCCTTTCTCCGCAAAATCTCGAATATTGAAACTGTTACAGTTCGCTGCAAAACAAGCAACGGACTTTTTTTTTTTTTTTTTTTTTTTTTTGTCACTTTCCAATCTGGATTGAATAGGACTAAAAGTTCTGCGGTCTACCAACCCAAGCGAAGAATGATTCTATTCTGGAAATTTAACGCCGTCTGTTGAAAATTAGAATGAAAAACACCCCAGTTATTTAGTTCTTTATTCTCCCAATACTGGCACCTGTTGATTCCGATTGCGTAATATCACGTAGGGAAGAATTACGGCGCACGTATTGCGCAATAACGCTTGCAGTATTTTGCAGAGATAATTAATTTTGATGTTTTGTCCGAGATTTGTTTATGAACACTTAAAAGAGTTTTACTGTGCTTGCTAAGCAGAATATTTTTCAGTTCCATTGGTTTATTTTTATATGATGCGCATATCGAAATGTCAAAAGCATTTATTTAGCGGGAAAATTTAAAGAGCGACTACAGTCCCCCCCCCCCCTCCGCTCCTCTTTTTCAAGTTACGCTCGACTGTCCGAATATTCGCCAATTTCCAAGTATGCGGGTTAGTTAAGATTTTACTGTTAAAGGATGACTGCATGAAGCAAATTTCTGTCTTCTGATTTCAGAAATGTTCCTCTTTTTTACTTAAATTACTTTGCTTGCAATATCTGTTAAGAGAAAACTGATATACAATGAAAATTTAGAAAATGTTTAGAATTTAGATTTAAATTATTTAAATATCAATATGAGTGGAAAAATAAAATTGTATTTATTATTAGGTTCCAAGTGAATACAATAAATATGCCTTATTATTATTTTTTTCTCTATTTTGAACTGAAATTTCATCATTAAATCTTGTAATATAGTTTAGTTCTGCATAGTTTTTTTTCCCTCTCATTGTAAACTAGTTCTGTAAATTGAACTATTATTTAAAATTTAAAAAAAAAAGTAATTATTTTCCATGGTTGAGGTAATGCTTATTTTTTCTTAATAAATACTGCATTTCTCATATTTTTAATTACAAGTCTAATTTTTAAGGTTATGCAGTTGTGTATAATGTAATTAGACAGGTGCTTATTTTTTTCTTAAAATGTTCTTGAAAAGTGCTTATAGGTGCTTATTTTTTTAACTAAAATGTGGCTATGAACCCTGATCAATCTTTCATCTAAATTAAAATAATAATCTGAAGTAGTTATTTAAATGTATTATATGAAATTAACTTTTCATCTAAATTAAAACAATAATCTTAGATAGCTATTTACTGTTATGTTTCCTTTCTTGCAAAATACATAATACATAATACTGAAAATACATAATATAATACTCAAAATCATACAGATTATTTGAAAGTAAAGCATAGACATATGTTTTTTATATTTCAGAAAAAAAAAAAAAAAAAATATAATAATATATATAATATATATATATATATATATTAAACAACCATATAAAATTATCACATGAAAGTCATGAATGTTTTAGTAAGATGGGATATAATTTTGGATATTTGTCTGCATAAAATAGTATAGTTACTATAGTTTTAAAAATTCACTATGTGTATAGCAAAACTCATATCTTTGTAAGGATATACATGAACCTGTGTTAAAGTTTAAGTCTGCAGTCCTTCATTAGCTTGCTTCCATGTAATTTTCTTGCTCTCTATGTCGTCTTCATCTTTCTCGTAGTTGTTCTGATCTTAAATTTTTCTCAGTACATGTCTGATTAGTTCGTTGTCATCCTGAGAAAGTCTGAGGGGAACAGAATTATTCATATCCATCCAAGTTTGTGCCTTTTTCTTTACTAACAGTAACCTTGTCCAAACTTATATAACTGAATCCAGCAGTCGGTCGCAGGCAACAGATGTGTTTTAAACCAAGAAAGTCTTTGCCCCTGAGTTCTTCATCTGTGAACATCATCACAAGTCACACTTGGCCAATAACCAATAACATGTTATTCTTTATTTTTCCCCGAGCAGGAGTCTTTAGTAAATATAGCATCTTTCAAAGTGAATTGCTTTTGCAGACCATATATAATACTAATCCTTTCAATGTTGATACATGGATGCATAAAAAGGTGTTGGTTATTCATCTTTATGTTCTAGATCAATAGTTTCAAATTCTGATTACATGTAGATCGAATACGCAATCTAAAAGCGGATAACAGCTCTTTTTTTTTACAAAAATGAAAAAATTTTTAAAAAGTGTTTTAATTTTAATATTTTTACTTAATGTTTGTGAAATCATCTATAAACAGTGATAATAATGACACTAGAGGGAAAAGGTACTTACATATTATCCCGTCGACTGAGAAGCTCCCACCAAGCAGCACGATTTCATGTAAATTAGCATAATGTAACAACATGCTCATAACATTTGTGCTTTCAATTGATGTAACCCCAGCTGATTTTTGACAAGCTATATTTTATTTTTATGAACAAAGATATGAATTAGCTGTTGTTGCTGTATTCTTGAATTTTAAAAAAATTCTTAAAATTTGGGACCTACAGAACAACAAGCATTGAATTATTTTCAGTTGTAAAATCCTACCACAAAACAATCTATTAATGGACATGTTTTGATCTGGAGAATATGGCTGATAAAACACTAATAGATTGGAACAATTACCTGTGAAAAGTTTGTACTCATGGTGTTCTAAACAGAGCATCTGATAAATTCTGACGGTCTAACAAAATGATAGAAATTGACAAAAGCCTTTTTATGAACTGCAAAAATGAAGTGGATATGAATAATGATTATATATTAAATAATGAAAATGATATGATAGCTGCCAACTCTCCCAAATTGATGGGATAATACCTTAAGTACCTAAAAAATTCCAATTCATTATTTTCTGTCTGAAAACTGAAGGTTGGGATCTGCAAAATTTTTTTGGCTACACTATAGAGACATTAGGTAATTCGAAAATAGGAAAGATGAAAAATGAGCAACTGCCTTTGTTGGGAATCAAACTGTGGACCTCTGGAATACGTGCCCAGTGTGCAGACCACCACACCACGAAGGCATGCCAAGAAAGTGGGAGAAATACCTTATAACACTTTGTAATTCCAATGTATTGATAGCTAAATATTCAATTTTCAGATTTACATTTGTTTCAGGTAATTCAAGTGTGTTGAATTAATTTACTTTATAACATTTTGAATTAAATTAGTTAAACTAAACAGATTACAAAAACTTTCCATGTGAGACAGCTTTTTACTACATCACCTTTTATTTTGATTTTGATAAGTTGTTAACCTTAGAGAAAAATTACTAGAAACTATAATGAATTATAGATGCTCATCAATCAGTGTGGTTATTAATTTATGCCTGCGGAAAAATTTCACATATGAGCAAGTTCCTAAACAAAGCAATTATTCTTATTGCAAAAATTCATAACTGAGGGTATTTCTCCTTTAACAGATGCACAAAAATTTTAATTGAATCTGTATCTTCAAATCTTTGAATAAGATTTATATTACCATGTAATTTAATGAGTTATATTTGTACATTTTTGGAGGTGTTACTCACTCCATTTTTAATGGTAATGAAAAATATTGTAAAACTGGAGTCACTGAAGTCTTAAACCTTTCTTTAAATCTCAAAATAATGCTAACCAGTTTGAGACCACTGTTCTAGGTAATTCCTTGATTCGTTGGCTGGATAAAGCTTATTATATTTGGTGGCAAAAGCATATTATAGACATTTTTCACATTTATTTCTATTTCATAGGTGTAAATTTTGATTCAAGTGTAGACTTATAACATTATCGTCGTTTTGATATTACAAGTTAACTGGGAGCTGGTTAGAAGAGATTTGTCTATGCATTGTTTATAATATTCTGTTAATTGTAATATGGGTTATTCCTCTTTCCTGTGTTTTTTCAGCCACCCTCAAATTAATTGCATATGTTGTCTCTAGTCTGATACTGGTAAATTGTGAGGAGACTATGTATGGTGAGAAATAATTCAAAACTAAATATACTATTTTTCACATTTTCTCTTGTGCAGAGTAACTTACTGTAAGGGTATTAATTTTATAGACATACTGTATTGTAAAGTAGTATTGATTAATATTGTGTATTACTCATTTAACATGATATAATGATAACTGGTAACATTTGGGTATGAGAGGATTTCTTCATTTATCTTCTAAAATAAGTAATAAAATTACTGACCTAATTCTATATCAGTAACTTTGCCACATCAGAATTAAGTCTGAAGTTATTGGTGTTTTTATGTTTGATAAGGGTAAAAATAATTGAAAACTTATTATATTATTCACTTTGTAAGATATAAATTATCTTACAAAAATGAAAATCCGCTGTTACCAAGCTTAATTTTCAAAATTAATCTTAAGTTTTATATTCTCTTGATTGGATTTTTTTTTGTATCTGTTCAAAAGATCATATGAATCAATTATCAAAAATTGTTTTCTGAACTACTTAATTATTACTTGTCTTAATAGTTTTTTTAATCAGTATCTTTCTTTAGAAAACGAGTTTTCATTTTGGGTCCTTCTCACCATGTCCGCCTAAGTGGTTGTGCCTTGTCTCCTGTAAGAACTTATCGCACACCCTTTGGGGACCTTTCCATCGACCAGACAAGTATGTTTCTCATTACTCTGCTAGCTGTTTTGATGCAAGGTTTAACTGAAGCGTTAAATATAACTTTTTTTTTAAATAATAATAAAGTATATGCATGTGAAAATTGTGTTCCTAACATTTGCATGTAATCTTTTTTAAATATATCTGATAAAAAAATAAGCTTTTCCAATTTGGATCAACATATTTTACAAATTTATTAATGGTTCTGCTATTTTTAAATTTAAAATTTACTGAATAATTGTTGATTAGAGTAATGTTTTACACTAATTACAAGTATCTTGCAAGGATTTTGAAAATGATTATTATAAATTGTTCTTAAAAATTTTTAACTGTATTTTGCATTTTTTTTTCATGTAAAATATGCATATCCATGATAATAATAAATTTTGATGTTTTAATTTAAACTTGTTCATGTTTCTGTACGAGTGGTAGGGAAAGGCTTATTTGTAAAAATTTTTTATGTAAAGAGAATAACAAGATCAGAAACTATAAAATTCTGATAAAAACTGTCTGGTAGAAGATGCCATTTTATGTGTTAGATTATCAAATCTTGAGTGGATTTGGAAAAAATTTTGTGACTTTGTGTATTGTCTGCAAAGTGGATAACTGTCTTTTACCATCATGCTGTGGCTTCTGAAGTAATGAACTGGCAACATGTAGTGGACAGTGCATGTGAATCTGTAATGTTTATTAGATATATTTGTATTCTCCACATGGTGTATTTTTCTTTGTGTCTTGAATTTTTATCCTTAAGTATTGTAATTATTTTGCCAATTTTTATTAGCAGCTACCTCTCAGGTGTAAAATAGTCCTAAAATTTGAATATTCTTTCAAGTAAATGATGCTCATTTTTACTGTATAGAGGTTTAAAAAACACAACTCCCACATATAGGCAACTCAGATTGATTCGCATACAATACAGAACAGTAATTTCATTTGATGTGGCTTTATTTCCGTTTTATGCTTTGCGATCTTGGACAAGCTTTGCACAGGAATTTGGGGGATAACTCCACAAAGTGTACCATTGTTTCACATATATATATGGATAAGTTATTCTATCTGCTAGCATTAATTAGGATGTCTAGCATCAAATTTATGAAGCTCAAGAAACCAGCTATGTCTTCAATGAAGAAATTTATTTAAAAATTCGTTGAAGACATCTTACCATGTTTGCCTGAAAATAAGACAAGGTCTTATATTAATTTTTGCTCCAAGAGACACATTAATTAATTTTTGTTCCAAGAGTGCTTATTTAACAGGGGCTATATTATTTTTTATACACAATAAATTGTATTTATTCATTTACAATAATCTTCATTTATTCATATATTCATGCAGAAAAGTTACATTTATTTATCCATAAAAATTTACATTTATTTAAATACACAATGTTATGGTTTTATGGAGCATTGTCATAAAACTTCAAACCCTAAATACCAGCTTGAATTTCTTGTGGTAAAATTTAATGTAGGTCCTTGTCCTATCTCTCATATCTACCAATAGTGTTTTTCTTAATGAACAGTTCTTGCCCATAAATGAGCAGTTCATTTCCTTCTATGAGTTCTTTCCTTCCCTAATGAGCAGTTTACCCTTATCAAACATAAAAACACCACTAGTGTATTGGCAGTAGTTCTGTCAGTAATTTTATCTTATGAATTCTTCTCTATGGTCATCATCTCTTGCAGGCTAGGCTGCAAAAAGGTGAGTTTTGAGCATAATAAGCACCTCTGGTGCTAATAATATCCATATAATTTGAACTGTACTGCCCATACTCTGTATGATTCTTTAAAAATATATTTTTCTTTTTAATGAATATAAGCTGTGCAGTGGATGGAGTATAATTTTGGAATATGGTTAAACAGTTTTAGTTTATGATTTGTCATGATACTCTGAGAATCGTGACAGAAGCTCCTAAATAGCAATCATGAAGCATAAAACTACATGGCTTTCATAAAACTAAAGAAAGCAAAAAATTATATTCAATTGGATAAACAGATATGATCTTTCTCATATTATATAGTTCTGTTGTAACATATTTTTGAGTAACTATTTGTCAAGATGCACATACATAATTAGAAGGGGAAACAATGTTGATGCCAATTCTCATTAAAAATTTTCTTTATTGTAAATTTCATGATTCATTTATATTCGACATATTTTAAATTTAGTTATATGTAAGACTGTAGAAAATCCTTTCTCAGCCCTTATTTTTACAACTGTTGTTCATAGATATATACCTCCAGCTACAGAAGTGTTTTAACCTGGAAGAAGTCGCGCTTGGCACAGAGTCACCCCATGCATCAAAAATCAACAATCCTGACCGGAAATATTTCATGTTAATGAATCATCCTTCTGGTATCCTCCTGTCTGACACTCCCCTTGGAATGTGTATTGTTATTTTTTCTTGTTTTACTTTTCTGCGAGAGAAGCAATCGTTCCTTGGAATCCATGAGGGAATGGAGTGACTCGGTAACCCTATGCGACTGTTACTGCTTTGAAATTTTTAATTAATAGCAGTTTAGATTCTTGCTCTTGAGTGTTTCCGTTGTTGGTCTGTTGGATTATTTGATAAATAATGGCTTACAAACGTAAATTTACCGAACATGAAAAAGAGATGGAACGTTTTAGAACCCTATTAGATGAAGTTGAGTCTTCTGAAGAAGAAATTGATCAAGATAGTGAAAATGAATCTGATGAAGAAATATACAGTTCTCATGACAGCGAAAGTGAATTTGAGCAGAATGATGAAGACGACGGAAATCCTGATTTAGTAAAAAGTATTTTTATTAGCAAAAATAGCACAGTTTGGCAAAAAGGAAAACCAAATCAAAAAGTGAAAACGTCTTCTCAAAATATAACTCATTTACAGGATTAAAAGGAACTACACGCAATATAACGGAGCCTCTAGAAATTTGGGAATTGTTTTCCATTGCTAAAATGATACAATTCATTGTAGAGTGTACAAATATTTATATTAAAAAATATCGGTAAATTACACCAGAGATTGAGATGCCAAAACGACAAATGATGTGGAAATTGGAGCACTTTTTGGGCTTTTATATCTGTGCAGCTTGCATAAATCATCACATGCGCAAGATTTGTGGGCTACTGATGGATCAGGCATTGAAATTTTATGGAACACAATGTCATATAAAAGATTTAATTTTCTTCTCAGGTGTTTATGGTTAGACAATGTGACCAATCGTGAAGCTCGCAAGAAATTGGACAAACTGGCGGCTGTGAGAGAATTTTTTGTCGATTTCGACGAAAATTGCCAAAAGATATACATTATTGGTGAATATGTTACTATCGACAAAAAATTAGAGAAATTTCAAGGGCAGTTTCTTTCGTCAATATATTACTCAGCAAACCAGCGAAATATGGAATAAAAATATTTGCCTTAGTAGATTCAAGAACATTTTACGGCTATAACATGGAGATATACGCAAGACAACAACTGGAAGGTCCCTTTAGAGTTGAAAATTCACCATTTGAAATTACAAAATGCCTGTGTAGCCCTTTGTTTGGATCAGGCAGAAACGTAACAATGGATAATTGGTATACCAGTTATCCTCTAGCAAAAGAAGCTAACTATTGTAGGAACCCTGAAGAGAAACAAGGCTGAAATTCCCACAGAGTTTGTAAAAACAAAAACTAGGAAAGTTTATTCTTCTATATTTGGGTTCCAAAAGAACGTGACACTAATATCATATATGCCTAAAAAATCAAAATGTGTTGTTTTGTTATCTACAATGCATCACGATCATGCCATTGATGAAAGTGATGATACCAAGAAACCAGAAATAATTCACTTTTATAATGCAACAAAAGATGGTGTAGACAAAGTTGATGAAATATCATCATTATATTCAACAGCTCGAAAAACCAACAGATTGCCGATGGTTGTTTTTTATTGTGTGTTGAACATCGCTGCAATAAATGCCCGAGTTGCATTATTGTCAACAAAGACCCCCTCTTTTACAATATTGAAATAGGAGGAAATTCCTAAAAAAATTGGCTATATCTCTTATACAGCCCCACATAGAGATAAGAAAAAATATGCTAATGCTTCCTAAAGTGCTTCATGAAAGCATCAAAAATGCGACTTCTAGTGGATCAGAAGAATGTCCATCAAAGAAACCAAAACTCGACAAAGGCCGATGTGCTATGTGTCCAAGGTCCAAAGACAATAAAACTGCAATTTCTTGCAAAATATGTTATAATTTTTCATGTAAAATTCATTCTTACTATGTTTGCCTGAAGTGTATGTCAGCTTCTGATCCCTGATTAGGTATGTAATTATTTTGAATGGAATTTTTTCTTAAATATTGAAATAAGTTTTCTTAAGTAAAGAAGTATAGCTTCTCAATGAAATATTGCAATTATTGTTTATAATCAAATGGTTTCTATAAAATGTATAACATATTTTCCTAATTAATCTGATTGGGGTAACCCAGTCACCCTGCGCGATCTCCAACGTCTGTGTTGGGTGCACACCTTCTGCCGGGTTAAATAATGCAAAGATTCATGTTTTGCCATTTTTAAAGACATTGATTTTTTAAATATTATGAAATCTGATTTTTTATACATTCTTCCACTCCTTAACTTTAATATTTAGAAAAAGTAAAATATGAAAGGTTTGACTTCTATGATAAAATTTGACTGATAAATTTAATATCAAAATCAATATTTGACATCATATTCAATTTGCATTGAGGAGTTAATTATTAATAAATTAGAATAAATAATCAAAGTTAATTCCCTCTTCTTAAATGCCATTCGCTGATATTATTTTGTAGTTTACTAGCCTCTTTAATTTATAATTTTATTACATTTGGTATGCCAAAAGATTTTTCATGCAAGTAATATATAAGTTTTTAAAGTTTAAAAACGTGACATTAAAATTTTTTATTACTTTAGAATCATAATAATGGTAATCGTACAGAAAATTTGTTAAAGTACAAATATTTTTTCATTTTTAATTAATACAAATAATATTATAAGTTGACTACATGCCCTTACTTAAGTTTGCAAGCATTTCCTGGAAATGAATTCTATAAGATTTTATAAATGGTATCTCCATTTTAAAAAAAAATATGTTGTTCAATATTTTTCACAATAATCTGAATAGAAATGTTTGTCATGTAATCTCTTGACCTTTTTCTGAGCAATATTTTAGCTATGTACAAAATAAATTGAAATGCAAATATTTTGCTTTTCAGTTTTTGTGCTTCCCCTAAATATGATTCTTAATTTTAATAACCGGATTTTCATCAGGTTTTTTCATTTTGGGAGTTACTTTTTGTGTTTTATTTTTATAATATAATATAGTCAAAAGTCGTTAATCCGGACTCGTCGGGACTTCGGCGATTCCGGATTATCGATTTTTCCGGATTATAGATCATCAATTAAATCTCGTAAGATGGCATGCAGAAATTCTAAAATTAAAATAGAAACTGTAATTTATGAAATAAAGAACATTATGATGTAAAGAGTATCAAAATTTACAAACTACACAAAAAAAAAAAAAAAAAAAAAAAGCTTAATATTTATTTGTTTACTTTATTAAACATTTCTCTCAATGTAAGTTGTTTAAGTTGCTTCATTTTAAGTGATAATACTTTCTCTTTAATTCTATAAAAAGACATAATTTCTTGTTCAGTTACAAAGTTCCGCTGTTCCAAGTCCCGTTAATTGCTGTGCTGAGAATACCGACTAACTTGTCAATCGAAATTTTTTCGTTTTCACTAACCTCTCTGTCACATTCTTCATGTCTTTATCCATTTTTTGTAGCAATTCCACTTTTTGTTTGTTGGACATCGAAACATACTTTCGTTTTGTAGATCCTTTGGAAGTTCCAGCATCGGAAATTCTATTTGACATAATCGAAAGTTCAAGTTTACTTTTATAAAATTGCTCTTACAGTCTGCAAAAAATAATAAGCGGGATCCAATTCGAAGATTATGGAACAACGCAATCATTAACATTAACTGAAATAGATTAGATAATTTTAGCTTACACCGTCCGTTATGCATTAAACGTGCAGGCGAAAACGTATTCTGCACTTGCGCACACGCATATGCGCAGTAGTCAAGGTTTTACGCGCACGCGTAAAACGGCTGTGCGCATGTGCCACCGCGGCGCATGCGCAGAAAGTTTTTAGCTTTGAGGTCCGGATTATGGGTGTCCGAATTAACGACTTTTGACTGTATATAGAAATATACAAAGTAAGTATTATAAGTTAAGTACAAAATTTTTCTAACTACAAATGTAGTGACTGGAGTAATGCATAAAAAATTAGATTTCATATTTTACACATTTTTTTAAAATTTAAAAATACAAAATCATGTCATGAATCTCTGCATCATTTAGAGTATTTTTGCTGTTAGAAGTATGTCTTTGGTCTATGGTTTGGAAAATAAAGGCTAGATAACGACTTATGTAGACATGATGCATAATGTTTTCATTAAGAAATTTAGAATCTTCACGTTTCTGTCTCCAGGCGGTTGGGAAAATAAAGACCAGTTAAGGACTTTTGTGAATGTGGTGTATAATATTTTCATTAAGAAATTTATAACCTTCACGTTTCAATCTCCATGTAGACTGACAAATCCAAAATACGAGTTTAGTAGTTATATATCTGACTGCCTTAGGAGTATATGTAAAACTTAATGAAATGTTTACAAGTTTACATTACACTTAAACAAGAAAAATGACCAAGAAAGTCGCTTTTTATTACAGTTGTCTATAAACATAACTCTCTAATTCAGGAGTTTTTAATCACATATTAATTAGTGAGGCTAAATCATATATTAATTAGTGAATTTGTGCAAAAATGTTTGTTTCCAGCTGCAAACTTGATCTTCTGATGTAAGTGGCAGTTTGCCTTCGTATTTGCTAGGTACTGCATTTACAGTCTCTATGTATTTCCTTGTATAGATATTAAAGAGTATATCAGGATTCCCAATCCTTTTCTTTCATCGATCCTTTTTTAAAAGAATAGTTTTCTTCATGGACCCCTTTACATTGTAAAGTATTTAAGTACACAAAGAAAGTATAGATTATCTGATAATGCATCTCTCTCTCTCAAGCAGGCAGAGTTAGTGGCCTTGCAAGAGGTCTTATTTTGGCTTATTTCAAATTTTATGCAAGATCCTGTAAAAATCTACAGCGACTGCCAGAGTGCAATTGCTTCAATTACAGATGTTTGTCCTAGTAACAATTTAACTAAACAGATAAAAGATGTATTCATTTTTCTTAACGTTTTCAGAGATATTAAACTCTTTTGGACAAAGAGCCATATTGGAAACAAGTTAGATAGGTTGGCAAAGGGTGCCACTGTAAATCAAATCATTGATTTTGAACTAGACTTCTTTTGATAGTTTGAAATCTCTGCTGAAAAGAAGAAGTTTGACTCTTTGGCAAGCAAAATGGAAAGATCAGATTCCAAGGAAAATTCACATAGAACTTAATCTCAAACTGAAGTGAGAGAAGATGCTTAAGTGGCAAGTACCTTAACCAAGGCTTAACTGACCATGGACATGTTCCACTTTATTATTTATAGGTTTTTAATTAACCCTTCAAGCTATTTATAGGTTTTTAATTAACCCTTCAAGCAAGTTTAGCCCTGAAATTTCAAAGTTCCTCAAAATGTCATGAATAAGTGGTATTTTTTTAATTTTAATTAAAAAATGAATCTCACATTTTGTACCTTGATTCCTTTTCTTCCAACATATATCAAAACCGAAATCAAATACATTAAAAGCTAGCAGAAATTTTCATTTGTAATGAATATAGAAGGCAGTCTTCTATAGTCTCAGTTCTTCATTGACCCCTTTAGGGAACCCCTGGTCTGTATAGATATTAAAATCTGTATAAGAGTTTAGATATTTCTTTGAAAATGTTTACATTTCTTTCCAGTTTATGACGAATTGTACAGCACTGGTCAGTTTGAAGAAATGAGTCTTTTAACTGATGAAGATGAACATAGTATTGAAATGCATCTGCCATTTATAGCAAAAGTGATGGAAAAGTAAGTAATTTGAAAATGGATATTGAAATTTCACTAGTTTACCAAAATTAAAAATTGTGATAACAAATTAAACGCTTTTCTTTATATTCTTGTAAATGACTGAAAAAAGTAAACATGACATAAAAGTAATTTTGATTTATGAATTCCTGAATTTTTTAGCCATCAGTTCACCATTGTGCCTGTTTTGGTTGGTTCATTAACAACTGAGCGTGAAAGTATTTATGGTAAAATTTTCAGTCATTATCTTGGCGAGGCCAGTAACCTCTTTGTTATTTCATCTGATTTTTGTCATTGGGGTGAGTATGAAATTATTTATTTTTTAGAAACAGTGCTGAAATAATTTTTCCGTAACATGCTGTAAAGTATAAAATTTATAATAAATTAGAAAAAATATTTTGGGTTGCACTGTGTGTAGAAATGCATATTGAGTATTTTTATGCGCCTCCTCCAAAGTAAAAAGTATCTATGTATCATCCCATGAATCATGAAACTGTCACCAAGCAGCCTGATGGAGCACCAATTATTGATAAGCATGATGTAACAACAACACCCATAATGTGCATGCTTTTGTTTGATGTAACCTGATTGACTTTCAATAAGCCACCTTTTGTTTTTATGAACAAGAATATAAATCAACTGTTATTGCTGTATATTTTCCTCCATTTTGAAAATTAAATGATTGAAATATAACCCTACAGAATAGTAAACAGTGGATTATTTTCAAAGTTACGAGATCCTGCTATAAAAAATAAAGTGTGTATTAACGAATTCGATATTGTCAGCTGAATATAGCAAACAAAACAGTAATAGATTGGAATAGTTACCTGCAGGATTGGTGTACTCATAGTATTCTAAACAGAACTTCCAGTAAAATTAGATGACATAACAAAATAGTAGAAATTGACAAAAGCCTTTTTACAAAAATGCAAAAACAAAACAAAAAAAAAAAAAAAAAGAACAAATATTGATTGTTTATTACATAAAGAGACATTAATATTGTTTATTACATAAAGAGGCATTAATTCCTTCAGAATTCCATAGGAATAATTGGCACACCTTTGGTGGGATTTCGTACAGTTTTCATCTTTCAGTAGTAGCTATCTTTCATGGTTGATGAAATGATACGTTAAGTACAAATAAATAAATGAAATACAATTTAAAAAAAAATAAAGTTTATGTTTTAGGCCATGATATCTGGTTGTTTGAAACTTACAACTAGAATTAGTGTGTTTAAATGATTGTAAAACTTTTAAATACATTTTCTTAAAATATCTAGAAATTTTTGACCCCCCATAATTGGTCAAAATGTCTTGTATTTCTACCTGTTTACCTTAATGTATGGTTAATGTAGGTATGAGCATTTTTTTTTTTTTAAATTTAAAAATCATTTGCATTGAGAACAATGATATGGGACTGTATGGCCTCAGTATGTCAAACTTAAAATGCATGTATAAAGCATTGTGTTTATATTCAATAACAAAAATCTCAAATTTTTATGTCCATAAAGTTAGCATTATTAGATTTTATTAATGTGGGCATGAAAACCATAGCTGAAGTTTTAAACCATATCTGTTCATTACTGTGGAAGCTGTTGCTGTGGATATCTCCTATGTTGAACTATAATTACAAAAGATAATTTTGTGTATAAATACATTGGCTAGGAAATCCCAGGAAAGGCATGAGTGTTTGCAGTTCCCTGTCTTCCCTTTTTGCATGTGTAATAGCGGTTCATAGCATGTGGTGCACTCAGGAAAATGTTCACAGATATGAGATGGCTAAATGATATGAGTTTGGTCATTCATGACGAAAACTAAAAAAACTAAACGAAAAAATTACTGAATGAAAAAGTGTTTACCCATAGCAAGGGAGTGCTTTTATTTACTTTGTGAACTGTAAAGGCACTCATTTGCATAATAATGTAAGATCTCATGTTGTTTCTGTTACCTACGATACCAATTTAAAATTTTTAACAGTATTTTTCGCACTCCCCTTGTGCTCCTAGAACTAGTACTTTGCATTATACTTGTTTTTAAAAATCATTTAGAGACTCAACTGTTCAGAAATCAAGAGGCTGTGTAAAAAATCAGATGAAAAATTTTCCAATTTTGGAAACTTACGACATGAAGGGTTGGATTATTTAATTATGGCAAAGCACACGAGGGCTAAAGAGAAGGATGCCTTCGTGGAGGACTTTCTAAGGGAAACTGGCTTGTATATACGTTACACATGGGGAAAACCACGAAAATGCCCATGCAACCAGCCCGTTCGCTGGATTCGAACCTCGGATTGAACTACCAGTGTTCAGCGTCTTTACCACTCGGCCGCTGGTGGGCGATCACATGAAGAAAATGCATTATAGTAGACTTAAGATAATCTGTCACCACTTAATCCACAAATTCCTGTAACATTTTTGGATGTAAACAAAGAAGATTTTGATTTTCAGAAAATTCAGCAAACTTAATAGCAAATTTTCTAATATAAATATGCAAATAAACATTTTAGCAACATTGCATGATGCTTATATTTTAATTAAAGTAGGTAATTTATTTTATTGTTGAAATTATAATTTTCTGTACAACTTCTTTTTTGCAGTAATCACATATCATGAATTTGCTGATTTTTCATTTTAGATTAGTTATTATTTTGAGTGTTTATTTTGTTATTTTTTAATATTAGTTCCAAATTTTTGAGGTTAACATATGTAAGAAATTATTTATTTACAACTTTTCAGATGTTAACTTCTAGCTAAAATGCACTTCATTTCATAAATTGTAGCTGAAATGTATTACATTAAGTAAACTAATTTGTTTAGATCCTACGCTGTGAATGCAAACTAATTTACATCACCAGCAAATAAGGCTAGATTCTTATTCGGTATTAAAAATCGAAAACCTGCTAACAGTGTTTTTAAAAAAAAGTCTTTTGGTATGTCCAAAATTTCACTTGTAGCACTTTTTATAAGCTTCTACCATGTGTATTCTGTGTGCTATTAAGTCAACAGCACATTCATGAAATCTCATGATGGATTTAGAATGGGATTCAGTTTAGGGAAAACCATATTCCTGAGATTTTTGCAACTATGTATTTAATTATCAGACTGCATAAATAAATAAATTTTATTTAAACAAACCAAAAAAAAAAAAAAAAAAAAAAGGTGCAAAAAGGAGCAAAACATGTATAAAAATAAATAAAATCTGGTACTATTCGGTTCTGAGGGCCGTAAAAAGTCGCCAAACTATTGTTGATGCCAGAGCTACTAAAAATAATTGTGGCAACCTTAATGCAAGAAAGGAAGTATAATACAGTACAAAGTCCGTAATCCAGACTCGTCGGGACTTCAGTGATTCCGGATTGTAGATCATCAATTTAAATCTGGTAAGATGGCATGCAGAAATTATACAATTAAAAATATGAATCGTAATTTATGAAATAAAGAACAGTTATGATCTAAAGGGTATCAAAATTTATAAAAAAAAAGCGTAATCTTTATTTGTTACTTTATTAAACATTTCTTTTAATGTAAGTTGTTTAAGATGCTTCCACAAAAAATTCAAAAGTTCCTTTTTCTTGTGTCGTATATAGAGGATTTTCCAATGCCATACTTCTCACACAATTTTGAGACGGATAGGCCTTTGTCCATTTTTAGCAGCAATTTCGCTTTTTGTTTAATGGACATCGAAACATGCTTTCACTTTGTAGATCCTTTGGCAGCTCCAGAATTTGAAACTCTTTTTGACATAATCGAAAGTTCAAGCTTAATTTTTATAAAATTGTTCTAACAGTCTGCAAAAAATAATAACTCGGATCTAGATAGAAGATTAAGGAACAGCGCAGTCTGCAACATTAACTGAAATGCCTTAGAAAATTTTTAGCCTAGCTTATACCATCCGTTATACATTAAACGTGCATGCCTAAAGCATTAAAAAAAAGTTTGTGCTTTGAGGTCCGGATTATAGATCATTCTAGATAATGGATATCTGGATTACGGACTTTGTACTGTACCAAATTGAGTAGTCCTTTTTAGCATTTTAAAAACAGTTTTTCTAAAAAGAAACTTATTTATCCCCCCCAAAAGGATTGTTATAGGGTTGCTATAAATAATAAATATAAATTCTTTAAAGATTGTTACTAACAGGTTCAAGATAATGAGTATGCATATGCATAAAGACAATGCACATAAAGTTTGTAGCTTTGAGGTCCAGATTATAGATCATTCCGGATTATGGACATCCGGATTACAGACTTCGTACTGTAGTAAATAACTATCTAAGATTGATGTTTTAATTTAGATAAAGGTTAATTTCAAATAATACTTTTTTATTATTATAATTTATATAAAAATGCCAAACATGACTGAATGGAAGCATAAGAGTAAATAACTATTTCAGATCATTATTATAATTTATATAAAAATTGCTAAACATTACTGAATGGATGCCTGCATCGCTATTTCGCTATCGAGTTATCGCTAAAGCATAGTTTCATCTCGTTGGTTGTTCAAACATAATTTTCTGTATTGAATGATGCTTATTCTTTGAAAAAATTCTCGGTAAAGTGCAGAATTGCCCACTTATTTGTTTGCTGCTTTTTACAAGATTAAAAACAATTGGATTTTTGTCAATTTTCTTTTACTTTTTAAGTGAAAATATATCGATGTGTACATATATTTTGTGCTTTGTTAAGTCAAGGATGTGCGCAGTGCCGTTTTTGAGCAATGGGATATTTTTTTTAAAATAAAGTGAAAATAGGTCAATCTGTATATGGATACCGAGTATGTGCAATTCTTAAAAGCGCCTCAAGCAGTGGGTGATTCTGCTCTTTACCCAAAATTCTATTGCAGACTTTTCGTCATGGGCAATTCCCAAATTGTTAAATCCATAGGATATCAAAAAAGGATTAAAATCAAAAAAGGATTTAAAAATTAAACTAGTATTTCAATGGTGTTTTGAGAAATATAAACTTACGCAACCTGAAATCAGCACGTGTGCTAGATTTGGCGCATTTGCTACATTTGGCGCTTTTGCGCATACATTTTCGTTGCAATTTTCTTACGGTCCTCAAAATGGAATAGTATCTAAAAGCCTGCCATTTAGAAGTACAAAAGCTACTTAAAAAAGAATTTCACTGGTGGATATACAATTTTTGGTATGTAAAATATTGTAATGCGTTTCTAAAAAAGAATTCTTCACTTCCTAGAACAAACTATAATGCTTTCCCTTCCCTTTGTGTGACATTTTCTTGGTATTTATATTAAAAAAGTATGTATGCAATAAATCCTGATTAAATAGTTCTTGAACTATAATTTGATGAGTTCTTTGTATGCAGACGGTATAAATTTAAAGTTAGGTCTTAGGCATGTGGATTATCAAGATTCTACTGCATTAAGCTTTTTTCTCCAGAGGTAAGAAATTATCGTGTGAGAGAATAACTATTTTGATTAGTACATTGATTTTTATGAGTATTGTTTTGCATGTTCTGTTATGAAGATACTAGACTTTAGATTACTTAATTACTTTTTTTTTTTTTTTTTTTTTTTTAAGTGGAGTACATTTAGGAGCATAATGAAATTTGTATCCAGTGCTCTACTTTTGAATAGAAAATTGTTCTTTCTCATCTTGGACTTGAAACTAATATATGTTCTGGTAGTTAATCATTAAAAAAGAATTGAAAGAAAAATTCATGAATTACTTTTTAGGTTTTTGTGTCATTGAACAAAGTTCTCATAATTTCAAATGAAATTTTTTTTAAATTTCAGGTGCTCGTTTCCATTACCAATATTATGATAAATCTTGGGGACAAATTTATCAGTCCATTGAAAAGTTGGATGAAATGGTGAGATTGCTTACCATTATTATATACAGTCAAAAGTCGTGAATTCGAACACCCATAATCCGGAATGATCTATAATCCGGACCTCAAAGCTACAAACTTTCTGCGCATGCATTGCATTGACGCATATGCGTGTGCGCAAAATACGTTTATGAATGCACGTTCAATGTATAATGGATGGTATAAGCTAAGCTAAAATTATCTAATTCAGTTAATGTTGCAGATTGTGCTGTTCCTTAATCTTCAAATTGGATTCGGCTTATTATTTTTTGCAGACTGTTAGAGCAATTTTATAAAAGTAAGCTTGAACTTTCGATTATGTCAAATAGAATTTCTGATATATATTTACTAATATGTAAAGGATCTACAAAGCGAAAGTATGTTTCGAAGTCTATTAAACAAAAAGTGGAATTGCCGCAAAAAATGGATAAAGGCATATCCTTTGTTTATCTAAACTTTGAATTGGAAGTTGATCTGTCAGCACTACCCTTATTTTCAGGGCAGATGTTTTTATTTTATTTGGCTTATAATTCCTTACTAAATGTAGTATTTCATCTCGATGTACTCCGTCTTTGATATGATTTAAATCAAATTCCTCGTCATTATAATTCGCTTCTGATAGCAAAGTGACAGAGATTATTGAAAACGAAAAAATTTCGATTGACAAATTAGTCGGTATTCTCAGCACAGCAATTAACGGGACTTGGAACAACGGAACTTTGTAAATGAACAAGAAATTATGTCTGTTTATAGAATTAAAGAGAATGTATTTTCACATAAAAAACGAAGCAACTTAAACAACTTACATTGAAAGAAATGTTTAATAAAGTAAACAAATAAATATTAAGCTTTCTTTTTTGTAAATTTTGATACCCTTTAGATCATAATTGTTCTTTATTTCATAAATTAAGGTTTCATATTTCTAATTTTATAATTTCTGCATGCCATCTTACCAGATTTAAACTGATGATCTATAATCCGGAAAAATCGATAATCCGGAATCGCCGAAGTCCGGATTAACGGCTTTTGACTGTAGTATTTGTGTCAAAATTTTATGAACATTTGTGTTTCAGTTTGAGCAATAAAAAAAATTTAGGTACTTTCTAATTATACATATTCTAAAGATGCATAAATCTGCTGTATATTTAACATTTTCTGTTTAAATATTTTATCAGGGTTGCCACGCTACCTGGAAAACCGGGAAAAGTCAAGGAATTCGAAAATTGACCAAACAATTCAGGAAAAAGTCAGGGAATTTAAATATTTTAGTCAAAATCTGGAAAAGTCAGGGAATTTCATACGGCGATCCCCCCATTCGGGCAGCTGGCATAGAGCCAATTTTCGCAGGCCATTCGACATAAGTCAATTAGACTATCTTTTAGAAAGGAAAAGCAAGTTTCCAGTAACCTCAAGAATCGCATGTGCAGTGCATGTTGAACTAAACAAAATACTTTTTCTTGTATAAAACAAAATCGGTTTAATACTAATATACGATACTATGGGAGTTAAAATCAAAGAATAGGTATTGTTAAGAAGGAAGATTTCTCTGCAACAGGAGTGGCTCCGTTCCAACGTAGAAGGAAACAGCTGCGCATGCGCGAAATATCTATTGCCAAAGCTCGAAGCCGGTGTCGAAGTTTGAAGGTCACGTTATCAAGAGTTCATAAAATGAATATCGTTTAAAATTTCTTTAAAACAACTTTAAAACAAAAGAAAATGTTTTTTCGCACTAGTAAATTAATAAATGGATTAGTTATTTTGTGGGAAAAAAAACTATGAAAATCCGTGTTTAAATGATTGCGAAATATCAAAGAAGAAACGTTTAGTCAAAGACTGTTTCTTCTTAACACATGTTCCTCAATTTCCTGTACACATCGCGAAGGGAAAAATTCTGGCCGCCAGGTTCCGTCGCCAAATCCCTTGGCGAGTATTTCCTCCGCTTTCTAGCGGTGTATAATAGCATTACGTCTATGGAATCTTTCCTTCTTTACGTAGATGCTCGTTGGTTGTTTTTTTTTTGTTTCCATGTATTCTGTTTTAACTTCCATGTACGGTACCAACGGGATTTGGCGTCATTATGATGAGCAGTAACTGTGTTATTTTGGTGTTGGCGATAATTTTCAAAATTGTGCCAAGGCCTTAGCATATACGAGGATTTTATCGCATAATTTTTGAAACCTTTTTTTTTCTTCTTTTTAATGTGTGGTACACACGGGATTTGGCGACGTTACTATGAGCAGCAAACGGGTCGTTTTGGTGTTGGTGACAATTTTCAAAATTGGGCCAAGGCCTTACCGTATATTAAGATATTACCACAAAATTTATTTGTTATTTTGCAATAAAATAAAAAAATACTAATCTAGGCTAACCATTAAATATAACTAACTATATTCGCTAAAATATCGTTGATTATTCTAATTCAATTTTTAATTTATCTTTATTTTTGTTATTCGTATCATTTAATATTTCTTCTTCCCTCTAAATTTGTTTATTATTAGTAAAAAATACTTTCAAATTTCAGGAAATTTTCTCTGGCATAATCCTGAAATTAATTCTAGCAGTAGTAGCATACCATCATGAAATTTAATGCACATATTTTTTGCTTATGTATACTGCTAAATAAATGTAAAATATCTGAATTTATTTAAAAATATCATTAAATATATTTCTTTCGTTTAGCTGCAAAATGTCTGCAAAAAATGATTTTTTAAAATCCAGATTGGGCAGATTCTAATCTCAATCTTCAGTGGAGAAAAAAATTCCTTTTATAGTTAAAATAGTAATCCTTTGGGGATTAATTATATATATAAGTCATATGTAATTGGAAAATTTTTGTGTTTTCAAGTATTACCATAATTAATTTGCCTCTTAGCACAGCCAAAATGCATTACGCGGATAAACTGGAATTTTCTTAAAATACACGTGGAAAACGTGGAAAAGTCAGGGAATTTCATTCTCCTGTTTGAGTGGCAACCCTGTTTTATTTATTGCAACTTATTATCTTAAAGACATAAAAAAATATTATTTTTATAACATGAAAAATGCTACATTAATTAATAAATTCAATATAAACTAAAATTATATTTGAATACTGCATTTATTTCCTCCATAACAGAGTAGAGGATGTTAGATTTAGTACCTAAGTCATTTGCAGCCTGCATTACAGGCAGTACTTACTTTTAAAAATTGTGTGACTGCGTGTAGGTTAGTTCCAAATGCTGTTAGAAATTCAGATAAAATTTTCATTGGTTCCAATAATTCCATGAGATTACTGCCATATAGCAAACTACTAGAGTTCATGTCATTTCTACTGTTGTTGAGATTTGTGGAAAAAATTAAATCCATGGCAGCAGATTCCAAAGAGGGATTTGCATTTTGTTCATCACTGCCTGATTTGAAAGCCTGAGCATAACTCACACTATTGCATCGATTAGAGAAGGCTTTTCAGGTCGCTTAAAGTTAGGAAATTTTTCCTCACCTGGATACTTGCATATTTTGAGGCTCTTGAGCAAACTCTTCAATTCAGATGAGCTAATGGGAGCACTGGAAATGGACACACCAATATTTAAGAACCCTAACTTTGCTCTATATTTTAATTTTTGAATAGTTACCCAATTATCCTAGATTGTCATCTGTCAGTGGTTTCTTTTCTCTCTGACTCAGCAAAAATCTGTACCAAAGAGTTAGCTACTTCAATATCAGAGGCCAAAGCTCTGTTGTTAAAACAAAATGGCCGCTTAGAGTCTTTATTGTAACCATCCCTAATCTTTGCTAAAAAGCTAAAAGTTCTATTTTTCCGTCCCTTTGAAAATCAATGTTTGGAAAGAATTTTCCAAAAGTTGTAGTAGCAGATGCCGTCGTGCAAATGTCTAGCGAGCGCCTTTATGTAGTGACGATATTAAAGGGATGGGGCTTATGATTAACATATAAAATGAAGCATTATTAACATAATAATATGAAGAACCAAAAACATATATATTATTTTTGTCTAAATATGCAAACATTTTGTGCTTTGTTAAAAACCACACTCAAACATATTCATTGAAGAATTATACATTCATTTTTGTTGTAAAAAGCCCCCAACCGGTATAGTGGTTAGCGTTGCTGACTGCCGTGCAAAGGCCTCGGGTTCGAATCTCAGAGAAGATATGGATGTTTGTAAATGTACAGTGTCCATGCGGCATGGGGACACTATAACTAGGAGAGGCGAAAGTCCTTTTGAAAGTTGGTGGTAGGGGAAGAGGGATTGGAGACGGGTGCTTTCCATCAAAATTGGGGATGAAACTGAGCTAAATCGCACTGTCACCTGCAACGTGCTCAAAGCTGTTGCAAACGACCTTCGTAGCCTTGGGCTGACTATAGGCTAGACAAGTGATCATTAGTTAGCAACAGCAAAATGTTATACAAAAGTAACACTGAGCGAAGCAAAATAATATACTAAATGCATTGGATACCAAATTAAAATTAAAAACAAATTAATATATATATCTAATAAGTTTACATTGAATAAATTGTTGTTCGCAGCGTAGTTTATGACAAAGTTCAAACTGTGATTACAACAGAGCACAAAAAATGTGCTAGGGCTGATATCTAGGAATATATCCAAAATTCTTTTCTGCACACCGCTATGTTGTTGACAACGATATAACCTAGGGTTTCAACTGGCGATGCTACATTTCCTCCAAAATTTTGCAAACCTGCAGTTCATGCATAAGATCTTTACTATTTATACCACTTTGATTTTTATCAATTAATGCTTTTTGTAGTTTTTGGCATAAGTTGAGCTGATCTTGTAAATATATGTGAACTAAAATGCATGATGCCGATGCGTATGTAAGGGTACAGTGGGCGCTGTAAACGCATTCGACTAGTTTGCTTAGTCCTTATTTTGTTCTACTGTTGCAATCGTAGTAATATGGCAACATTTATCTTTTTTGTGGTTTTTTTTTGGGGGGGGAGGAGGTGATTGCTTGTTGTTATTGTTATTCTACGTAAAAAAAGTT